CATCTCATGAAAGGAGGAAAAAGTGTTAAGATAGTAGGAAGCAGTTTCCTTCCTGAGGTTGGCTTGCTTAGAAACTCACAACCCTACATTTCAATTTGAGTTTTCATTTGTGCAAAACACGCCCCCACCCCCTACCCTAACCCCCGGTGCTAGAGACTGAACCTAGTGCTTTCATGCACACTAGGAAAGTGCTTTGAACTGTATCCCAGTCCTCAAGTTTTGCACTTTAAACCAATGTGGGAACATGTGACAATTCCTAGCCAGCATGTGGCCTGTTTTTGAGCCTTGGTTAAACCTTGAACCCTTCCCAGGATGGCCAACTGCTATTGATCAGCTTTGGATGGGTGTTCTCTACATGACTTAGGCAGAACAGAAGCAGCTGAGCTGGGGGATACCAAGGGCAAGGGTACAAAAAGAGGGAGAGAGAGGGGGGCTGGAGGTTTAGCTCAGCCGCATAAGTGCCTGCCTTGGAAGCAGGCAGTCGTGAGTTCAATCCCTGGTACCTATAAAAAGGAAAAAGACAAAAAAAAAAAAAAAAAAAAAAAAAAAAAAAAAAAGAGGGAGAGAGAAAGAGCTAGTACAAGACAATTCAGAGTGAACTAAATAGTAAAGGCCCAATATCCTATCAGTCAGCACCCAAAAGAGGGCATGTTAATGGGCATGTGGGGAATTCTACCTCATGGGTATCTGGGAGAACTCAGGCTGGTGCCAGGTAGGGGTGGCCCCACCAACAGTGCCACAGGTATGAAGGCAACTTGATCACCTCTTCATGCCACAAACAATATTTCAAAGTAAGAATGAAAACCATCACCCTAGCATTTCCCTCATAAGACATGTTAAAATAGGGAGAAAATGATGAGAAGGACTAGATCTAAAGCCCTGAAACAGATTTCAAAGTTGGAATGTGATTTTCAAACTTCAGCTAGAAAGTCACTGGATGTAAAATAAAACAACTGCCACCACAAACAAACAAACAAACAAACAAAAAACTAAAGAAAAGATATTGAGTATAAAATAAGCATAAAACTATAAAAGATGATACATACATACAAAAAGACAATGGAGGAACAAATATACATTTGTATTAAAAGAAGAAGAAAATAAATAGGCACAAAACCTAATTTTGATCACTGTAGTACACACCTTGTAGGGAGGCTTGTAAATCTTTCATATTTTGGTCTAACAGCTGCGAAGGGAGGAATCCGGAGCCAGTCTGGAACTTGGCATCTGGCTCTCCCAGGGCCCCCGCTGGTGCTGGCTCTTTTAGCCGATTGTCTCCAAACACAGCTGCCCACTCTTTGCTGAACTCGCCCTCTTCCAGGGAGGAAGCGTTGAAGATCTCACTCAACAGCAGCAAGTCATCCTTGTCAGTGCTGTCGGGTTCTGGGGTCTCAGCCATCGGGCCCAGGCAAGCTGATGGGGGTGGTGTAAAAGAGCACACAGGACACATGACTGCTTTAGGGCTCAAGTCTCCAGAGGAGGCTGGATTGGGCCAGATGAGGTGAAAGGCTAGCTTTAAAAAAAGATTATTCAACACACAAATTTACCCTATTATAGCCTTAACACATTTCAGAATGAAATTTCTAATCCATTGCTCCCTTCACTCCTCTTCCTCCCAAAGCAAGTCCAGTTTCTGGGCATCTTTAGAATTGTGAAAACATTTTTCTCACACACACACACACACACACACACACACATTCCTCTAGAGTTTGAGTTTTTCCTTAACATAAAAGCAAATTCACCAAAACATTTCTCATATCTAAAAGAAAGCCAGGATTCAAAGCCTACAGGAGAACCTCATTTCTGCGCTAACAGCTTCCCAGATCTTCCCACTCCATCCCTCATTCTACTCAGCCTGGGCTGGAGCAGCCATCACGCCCTGTGCCAGCACATCCTGCCACCCAGGCTGGGCGGAGACCCCACCATTCCCGGGGAGTGTACTGGGAAGCCTGGCATTGGTTTTTCCCTCTATGCTAACACAGCTGCAGGAGTAAAGGGAGGTGGGTGTGCTTTGTCTGAGGGTAGCAGAGATGGAGCAAGAGGACAAGAGGGCACATCAAGGCTGACCTGAGGGGGTGCTTCATGGTTAGGGTCACAGAAATGAACACCAGGCCTCAGGGGACCTCAGTTCACCCCTTCCTTGCCGTGCGACTTCAGCAACCCTTCAGCCCCTGAGCCTCTCTCTTTCCATCTGTAAAGCTACCCTACTAATGATGCCCACTTGAGAGTGCTGTTAGGGAGACCAGAAGATTTTACAAGCCACGGGTGTATGGAAGAAGACTATAAAAGAAAACTCTCCTTGTAGCGGCAGCCCGCAGCATGCTGACTGGAACACAAGCAGAACAATGATGCTGTGACAGCCTACCCCTTCACGGATTTTCTGTGTATTTTGAGAATCTAGGACTGGCAGTTTTATTAACTGTGGCTTTGTTGCGGAATATAATTGCCACCTGTAAACTGTAAACATTTTTGTTTTAAGTCCCAAAGTGCAGAGGAAAAAAAGTCATGATTTATACTTTTTTCTGAGCAATTGCAATTCTGACACAGTCATATTAAGTAAGACTATCAGGTTTTCCTCCACTATATATAATTAGTAAGTGAGGGCCTTTTAAAAAATGAACCTTCTGTGTGCCAGCTTTACTGCATTTATTTTCACCCACACTTTATATAAAGATCTAAAGATTGAGGGGATTTTTGATGTGCTGAGCAGACTGGCTATAAATCAGAGGGGGGTGTGTAGTCACTCACATCCCTGTGGTTTTAAAATAGTAGCAAAACATCACTTTAATCAGACAACTATCTAATTTAAGCATTTTTATTGTTTGTATTATCAAAGAAAATTTTCTCTGAGACATAGCCTGGAGGTGTGGTGGGTGGAAGATGAGAAATGGCATCTTGGGCAGGCCCTGAGACAGCGCTGCAGGAACAGCGTAACCACCGAGGCCAGGCTGGTGGGGGAAGCCAGGTTCCCTGGCTCTGCAGGTGGGCAGGAGCTGAGGGACAGCACACTTCCTCGGGTCAGGACAAGTCTGTCAACACGTCTGTCCATGCATCCCCTCTGTCAGTCTCTCAGTGTCACCCCTTTAACAGTATGTTAGCTTTGCAAATCTCTTACTGCCTACTTTCAGGTGGGACTGGAATGCCTGAACACTTTTTCATGATTTATTTTCTGGCCTGACTGAAACCAGATGATGACTGAACCAAGCCTCTTCATCTGAACCATTTCAAATCAATGTATAGACTCTAAGGTCCAGATGACTTCAAAGAAGTCTTGGAGGCGATATGATTTCCTTTTCTTGTCATTTTATTCAGCCCTCTGCCAAGTCCAGCCCTGGGGAAAGCTTTGCTGCTGGGGTCTAGCTGTCTGTCCGGGGAAGCGTACCACTAACTTCAGCAAAACAAATAATAAGCTCAGAGCCAGGTGTAGTGCTACACCCCTGGAATCCCAGCACCTGGGAGACGAGACAGGAAGATCACTGTGAATTCGAGGACAGCCTTGTCTACACAGTGAGACCCTGCCTCAAAAATAAAATAAAAAATAAAAAAGTAACTATAGACTGCAAAAGTTCTATTTTGGTTTTTACTGCTTAGGTTTTGGTGTGTACAGTAGACTTCCACGGCTCTGGCTGACTTGGCCTCTCTAGAGTTTTCTCTGGGAGGCATCTCTGAGGTCTCCTCTCCTCCACCCCAGGCTGATGTGTGGCTGGGGCAGCAGAGTCCTTCATTTCCTAGGCCACAGTGACTGGTTTCGGAATGGCACATGCTGGTGAAATTTCTGAGTTTGGTAAATGGAAATGAGACAGAAAAGTGTCTTTCTTTGGGACTTCAGGGTCCAAAGATACAGACTTGAGGCTTCCCATGATAATAAAGCCAACATGCAGAGGAAAACAAATGAAAGAGCTAAAAAAAGAATTTTGGTAACACTCAGCCTCTGGATCCAGTTTTGCTTGATGTGTGTCTACTGTAGTTATAGCCTCAGTTACACGGGCAATATATTTTTTTCTTTTTTAAATTTTACATCTAACCTATTCCAAGGAAAGTTTCTATCTTTGCAACCAAAATATTCCTAATATTTTACCTTATCAAACTCAAATACTCCAGTCACAGAAATGAGAAAAGAGGCAGTGGTGATGATGGTACCATCTAGAGCTTGCTCTGGATATGGATTTGCCTATACCACCATTGAACTTGACCATTATTTAGTACCTGGTTACTTAACAGTTAAATAGCAGGCTGCACAGTGAACATCTGCTCTTTTAAGAGAATTTATTAGCCAAAAGCAATGAAACTGGCACTGACTTGACCCATAAAACATGGAAACCATTCAGTTATTGCACCAATAATTAAGATGCCTGAAATTACTACACATAACTTGTAAGAAAAACTTAATTACAAGTAGAAAAGGACAGGTTTAGGTCTGTAACTGGACAAGTTGAGACTTGAGCAATAACACTAGCCAGTAAGCTCTTGAGAATCAAATCATGCTATCAATGTCTTTGAAAATAATTCAACTCAAGTTGGGAGCACACGGAAACTGAGGCAGAGATATGATAAGCTCTTAGACAGAAGGCCTGGCCAAAGTCACACAAGCAGGGTTGGAGCTTTCTCCCCAGGAGACAGGAAAGGGTGCCTATGGGCTTGTGTGTGCACCCTGTTTCTGTCTGGAAGACGAGCGAAGCCCCCATGTTTACTTTCATATCAGATAACCCAACCATAGACGTCACTATAAAAATAAAAGCCAGCAGATGTGATAGGCTCACCTCACTGCTTTAGACTCCCTAAGCCTTCATGTAATCCCTCCCTCCGCCCTCCTGAGTGTGGCCCTCTCTGTCTGCCTCCTCAGTTGCCACCAACATTCTGCTCTAGCACCTTCCATCTTTTCCTCTTCTCTCCTCTGGCCTCTGAGGACACAAACACATCCCAATAGCATTCAATCTTTACTTCACCCCTTCTGCCCTTCACTACTGTTCTGATTTCTTTTCCATTCTATTTGGTCTACCTTTTCCCAAGCTGCCTGGATGAAGCTCCTGCCCGCATGTTACATGGCCGTGGCATCTTTTGGGTGAGATCCTAAAGGCCAATTCCAACTCCCTCTACCCAGCCGCAGCCTCTGTAGTGCTCTGCACTACGCTGTGCTCTGTAAGTGCTGGCATTACCATGAGGTGATTCTCTTGGATGGTGTCCTATCTCTTTGACAATATATTCTCCAGCCTAAGACATTAAATCTCTCTTCAATTTCTACCAAAGATCTCATCTGTTCTCATGCTTCCCATCTCACCTTGGGAGATCTCAAGTCTCCCTCCTGGTTCCAAGTTCTTTTCTATCTGGCCCCCTTCCCAGTGTGGCTACTGGTGAGGCTGCTGTCTCTCCACAAGGCAGACACCTCCTGCACGCCTTTGCTCAGCCCAGCTGTCAGACCCATCTCTTACTTTGAAACCCTAAGCAGCAATTCTTGGCCACCTAGCAGAGCAGCACTCCTGACAGTGGCATCCAGGATGTCTGTAGTCAAGCGCTCATGCAGTGCTCTGGCCACCTAGCCATGCTGTGTCCTGGGCAGCCCACTGTGCCTCCAGTGCTCAGGACACTTTCCTGCCTTTCTGCCTGGGAACCTGCTGCTTTCTCTCCAGGAGAATCATATGCAATCTTTCTTCTGCAGCCATACCAGTTTGTAGAGACCATCTTCTCTAATTCATTTTACAGATGAAGAAAAAGACCCAGGGTGGATGACCTACCCAAGGACGTATAATTTATTCATTACACAGTCTCTGGCAGAGGATCCCTGACCCACAGGTCAAGATGCTTTCTCCGTCGGCACCCTGCTTTTACTTTAGAAGATAGTTAGGATTTCAAATAAAAAGTTAAGTGTTGAGGAACTATCAGGTCAGAGGGCTCTGCCTCCAGCCGGGCTTCATGCAGGCACATGGCAGAACGGGCAGATGGCAGATTCACAGGGCTTGTTTACCCTGGGCCTCCTGAGTTCCACAAACAAGAACCCGTGCCCTTGGGAAAACATCCCTAGAGGAACTGACCCTGAATCAGTGATCTCTATGTCATGAACACTCAAACACAAAGGAAGCTCCCAAGTTCAGACAGAGTGTGGGAAACTCGAGACAGTTGTGCACGTAGTATTTCTGAAATCATACCGAGTTTCATGATCTCAGCATAAGTTAGAGACACAGAAGATGGAAACATAACTGCGTAGACTGAAAATGAGAGCACAGGAAAACAGATAAATGTCACTTGGTGTACCTTCATCTGTGTGTGAAACAGGAAGACTCCTGCTCTGGGTTTCTCCCTTGCCTCTGCCTTCCGCATGATGACTAATCTCAAAGGCCATGCATTTGCAGAGCAGACGAAAACCCCAAACACCAACACTATCCTCACATCACCCAAAGCAGAGTAAGGGGCAGTTGAGAAGAAAACCACCTTCCTAAAGTGTCTAACCAGAAAAATATTCTTCATTACACAGGGCTCTGGTAACAAACTGTATTTTTGGAACTCAAGAATGCTGCTTGCTTCTAAAAAGCCCTTTCTGGTTTAAAAACAAAACCAACAAGACCCAGATTATAATAACAGATCATCTCTGAAAAAAATAAAACCCCACAATTCAATAGTATTAGACCTGAGTAGTCTATAAAAACAAATACACAAACAACTAAACAAATAACTTGTTATTATTGAGCCTGTTCCTCCATTTTTAGTATTAGATCTTAGCAATCAAAGAATCTTACTGACAGACATGTAGCATGGGGCTGAGGACAGTCTTTACAGGAATAAATCTACATGTAACACTTTTGAGTAGATGGTGATTAAATAAGAACAGCACTTGACTATATATGGCTATTGGGCTGGGGTTATTGCTCAGTGGATAAAAGCTTGACTAGCATGCACAAAGCCATAGGTTCAATCCCCAGCACCACCAAAAAAGAGTATATCATTATTCCATGAAAGGACCAAAGCCAGTAACACATTGCAGAATACTGAGAGAGAAAAAGCTTACAACAAATGATGATGAACTAGCTATAGTCCATGTCAGGATGTAATCACATCCGAATACATGACACTGGTAGGGGACAGATCTGGATGTCTAGGAGGAAGGCACACATTGATAAACAGGTGTGATTGCCACGGCCCATAGGTTCTCAGTCAGGCCTCTGGTAACTACTGAATGAGCTGTTGTTCCAATACATGGCTAGAATTTAGAATCATGAGTAATAACAAAGAAAGTAACAGAAGATGAACATTCTATTGCAATATAGACAAACAAGTTTTTAAATTGGCTCAGGTAATCTTGACTCAGGATCTTCTGGGTGAGGCCAACGGGTAGGGTTTTAGGTGAACTGAGTTCACTGAATTCTTGTCTGCTTTACACCATCATGCTTTGTTCAGTAACAAGCTAGTTTTTTTTTTTTTTTTCTTGGTCCAACTTTGAGAAACAAAAGGCTTCTCTCTAACTCATGCAATATGATTGTCACACACGGTCATAAAGCAATTTCAGAGCCACTTAAAAGTTGTTTTCCACTTAGAACATTTTCATAAAGTCTGCTAACGTGTTGTTCTTCCATTACATTATCATTTAGTAGGAGAAAGCAAATTTTATTATGACACTGAATCTGAGTGGTTCGGTGGGCCTGGTTGAGAATCATTACAATTGTCATTGCAGTCTGCCTTCTGATAGTACTATAGCCAGATCTGCTAATGTCTGACAGAATTACCACTGGGAGGGAATCAGCCTCCAGACAGCAGGGTGCTAGCGCTTATAACCCTCATCCTATAAAGTTAGCCATCCCTGGATTAAGTTCTTTTTATTTCTTGACTACTTAATGTTTTCCATATTATAACCAGCATTTTAATTCAGGATTTGGGCCTTCCAGCAGTTTTCCAAAGGGCCACATTTCGAAGTCAACACATTAATGAGCATTCTTCTCATCAGTCACTGCAAATTCTCTGGGTGCAGACAGGATCTATTTATACCCATGGCTAGGGGACTGTTTAAGCTGCCACTGCCCTTGGGCTGACACCACAGGAGAGGTAGTAGTGGGAAAGCTTTGCTCACGCCTCAAGAAGGGCTCCCTGGCTCAGTAGTGATAAAGGAGGGCAGGAATTATGTGGCGTTACATTTACTTGAGAAGATCTGTGAATCCATCTCTCTGCCTGAGAACAAGTACGCATGTTAGGGAAGAGCACATTCTTTATCTTTAGAATTAAACTGAGTGGCCCTCCAGGAGATACCAGCTGCTGTTCTACAAAAGCAACTATATACCACCTGACAATGTATGAAAGTTGTTTTAAACAAGTAGAAAAATACAAATGTTATTCCAGTGGATCTTGGCATATGCTATTAAATAAGCTCATGAAATCCAGCATGCATCTTAGGCAAGCAAGTTTCCAATGTAATTGTGTCAAGAACGTTGGCTATTGGGTTCCTGCTTGTGCCATAACTACCATGTTAAAAAAAAAATCCAAAGTCAAAGCCAGGGACCTGTGTGTGTGTGTGTGTGTGTGTGTGTGTGTGTGTATTTCTTTTTGTCTTGGTAAGAAAGGGAAACACAAGGAGATAGACTCATCTTTGCTCTGTTTGAAGATAAACACTGGAAGGATCACTGCGCAATGGGGGAAATGAGAACTGGGAAAAAAAAGAACTAGAGTAAGAGTTTTTGGTACTATTTTTATTGCTACAATATTTTATTTTTTGACTGATGGGGATATAGTGAGCAAAATTAGATCTATTAAAATAACAAAATTAAATAGGGTGATAATAAAAGCCAGAGATACGTCACATGAAGAAGATATTGGAAGCTGGGTAGGGGAGGCACATACCTGTAAATCCAGCACTTGGGAGGGTGAGGCAGGAGGATCTTTGTGAGTTCAAAGCCATCCCAGACTACATAGTGAGTTTCAGTCCAGCCTGGAATAGGCAGCAAGACTATCTCATCCCTCCCCCAGAAAAGGACAAATTGGAGCTGGGCTTGGCAGTTTATGCCTATAATCCTAGCACTCTTGCAGGCTGAGACAGGACAGCAAGTTTGACTCAGGCTGGGAAACTTAGCAATCCCCTATCTCACTAACAAAAAAAGATCTGGGGATATAGTTCAGTCTAATAGCCTGGGTTCATACCACAAAAATATTGATTAAGCTGAATCACATACATGATGATAAATATATTTATTAAATGTTAAGATTTGCTATCAATGGGTGGCATGCACCTAGGGCTCATTGTGTTGTTTTCTTTGGGTCATTTTGGTAGGGAATTTTTTAAAAATGGAGGCCACATGTGACAATCTGCACTCACTGCATACTTGTTAATTTCATTACCAGTATGATTTCCATATTTACAAATGACTAGTCATTTTGATGAAATTCGCACAGACATTCATGAAGTATTGCACTGCCTATGACTTCCAGTAGGACACTAATCTAGAAAACAAATGTTTGCTCTCCAGTTTATATTCCTAAGCCCTGAAAAGAACATAGAGTGTGTTTCCCACATCTGAAAAACCTTTCATAAATGTCCTCTCTATTTCTCAGAGACTTCATTCTCTTGCATTCTGTGAGTTAAGCCCACATCAAACTTAGCCCGAGCTATCTACCTTGATGCATTGAGGCTGACAGGACAGTTGTGGCCCATTTCTGTCCAGTGTGAACCCTGTGGGAATGGAGCAGACTGTGTTGATCATCATGCAAGGGACGTTGTGTTCAGCTCAACATGTAAGCGTGTTTCGGAATTTGGGAATCATTAAAAGGAAACTTTGTAAGATAGACAGCAGAGCTGACCACCAGTTTCTCGGCATCCCTTAACACCATAACATGCCCTATCCACATCCACATCCACATCCACATTTCTAGACTCTTTCAGGAAGTCATTCAGAATGGGGTTTCAGATCTGGAGAATTCAACTATGGGACCCAGTCAGACAAACTCACCCCATGCACTGGGGTTCAGTGGAGATGCAGCCTAATAAACCATCTTGACATATTTCAGTTATGCTGTCTCAACTGCTTAGCATTTCAAAAGTGTGAAACACCATGCAGTATCCTTCAGACACCTGATTTACAGTCTTGACAGTAACCAGGGTGGCTGCTGCCATTGGTTCCATTTTACAAAGAACACCTGAGGTTTAGGAAGTTCAAGTATCAAGCAAACTCTAAGGCCATTTAGGCCATTTACGGTGGAACCAATATTCAAATCTACATCTGTCTCATTCTGGAAGGCATTTTTCTACTACAGCATGTGATTTCTGCATAAGTTCAGCTTCAGTAGTTGGGATATTATGAAATTAAATATAGTAACAATGTCAGATCCATAATTAGGCACATGCAAGGGCATTTGTAAAGACTGTCACCCAAAAAAATTTAGTTTGCAGAGTACTGAAAAGCTATTAAAAGACAAAGATTACATTTTCTTTTGTTTAAAAAAGGAAGTAAAATAAAAGCAAATTATAACTTCAAAGAAATGCATAAATCTTACCACCTTCCTCAGGTTTCATGTCTAACAGTTCATCCATAGGTCCTTCAAGAAGAGAGGAAAGAAAATAAATAGTGAGTTAGTTTTATAATGTAAATTTGAGTCAAATTATTTAAATTGAGTAGCTTGCCTTAATCTAGATTACCTGAACGTGCATTTTGGGTAGAAGTTTTGTCTGAAGTAGATAAAATACTTTTTTCATCTTCAGCTGTAATGTAACACAGGCAACTGGTTATCAGCAATTCAGAATGTTTGCACATTCATATGATTGTAGCGTAATGGAGATGAACAGCTTTAGGAAAGAACAGCATCCACAGACTCACTCATGCGAAAGCAAGAATCCTCAGATTACATCTTACTCCAGCTGTTGGCTCTCAGCAAATGTAGAATTAGCCCTGAATCTGCTTTGTTTGGTAGGTAACCCAGAAAATTATATGACACATGCCTAACAATTCTTCATCGTGGACAAACGAGTGAGTTAAGTAACTATTACTTGATGTTGGTAATGAACTTCAGCCATATAGGTCTGGCTAAAATAAGCCAGATTACTAAATAGAAGGAGACAATTTGAAAATGCTGCATACTGTATGACTCCCACAATATGACATTTTGGAAAAGACAAAACTATGGAGACAGTAAAAACATTAGTGGTTGCCAGTGCTTAGGGGGAGAGTGGCAAGAATAGGTAGAATATAGAAAAGATTTAGGAAAGTGAAAATGTTTCATATGATACTGTAGTGGTAGATACATGCCATTTAAAATGTTTTAATATCCATAAAACATCTAACGTTGAGGAGTCAAGTCTATGTACACTATGGGCTGTAGGAGGTAATGATGTGCCAGTGTAGGTTCATTGACTAACAAATGTACCATTTGGGTAGCGTATATGCTGACAGTGGGAAAGTGTATGTATATGTGGGGGGAGGGGCCCTATGAGAAACCTGCACTTTGTGCCAATGCTGTGAACTAAGAACCACTCAAAACAATAAATTGTGTGTGTCTGTATGTATGCAGTGGAATAGGTTTAGAAGTTAGTTTGCTCATGTGTTAGATTTTCTATGGATCACAGAGTAAGAGGCAGATATCACTTCATCATAATGAATTCCATTCTGTGTATATATAAAACAAAGTGTCAGACATTCACAATCTCAAAATATTATGCAAATACCATGTGCAATTACACTGTATAAGGACATTTTCTCCTGCATAGACACATACTGTATGAGGATATAATCTACACAGATTACTTGCATAAAGATTCAGTAAATTGGACTTTACATTTTTCTATAGAACTAAATTTATTCAGTGACCTCAATTCCCACAGTATGAATGATTCATGCTGTAGGTCGACAGAAGGACACTGGGGCTGAGGGTCAGGATCGATGCACGGAGCTCTCCCACAGGCAGTGAGATCAGGCCCAGCCTCTGCAGTACTGCCGCCCCTCTGAGGCTCTGGCATAGGTCCTCCCTACGTCACAGCCTTTGTCCAGGCTGTGGTCTTGTTCTGACATGTCTTGCAATAACACTTAACTTGAGCTGGTCCCCTGGTCCCTGTAGACAGATAAGGCCTCTGTCACAAGTGGCCAGACCCCTGCACTTCTCCCTCACGGCTCTCATCAACTGTGGAGTTGCCTGACTGCATGACTATTAGGCTATCATCTGATTTCTCTGCAAGTCCCAACCTGAAAGAGTCTGATTTGTCTGAATAGGTACAAAGACAGTTCTCAGAAGACATCTGCTGAACAAATGCACAAATCAATGAATATGTGAGAGCACACATGCATGAGGGATGACAAGGAGCCAGGTGGTGGGGATGAAATAGTAAGCTGTTTTGCTTTTTCTGAAAGGCAGATAGGAGACAGCAAATGTATAGCAGGGAAGTGGAGGAAGAAAAATATTAGGTGAAGCAAGTGTTTAGAAAGGTAAAGGATAGAATGGAGAACAGAAAAATTTTAGGATCTGCTTTGACCCCTGCTGTCTTTTATGAAGGCTACCCCAGTACAGGCCAAGGCAGGTGACAGGTTAGTATGTCCCCAGAAGGGCTTGTTGAACAGAGGGCTGATGATTCTAGTTCTCTTCATAACACCTATAAATTATTCCTTTTCATCTCCAAGGATTTGAAGTGCCATCAGGAGAAAGGCTCAGCATTACATCACATTGCTTCTACCATTATTTTCCATGTTTTCTATCGCACATGAGGTGAAGAGCCAATTAAAAAAAAAAAAAAAACTAGCTGTGATGCATACGGCAGAAATAGTTGAGAGCCCTTCATTATGCACTGTGTCATCTCCCAGTGGCCTGACTCTTTTTCCTAAGACATCAGGTTCAGATTACCTGAGAGACATGGTACCACTCAGTGCAGGCAGCCCAGCAGAGCAAGGTCTGAACTCCCCTCATCTGTCTCTAACAATGACCAACACATACCCACAGATCACAAAACACCAATCCTTCTGGATGCAATAATGTGACTTTACTGAGACCATTTTCAGAGCCCACAAGCAGATAGAACCACAAAAGGCAATAGCAAAATTGTTTTATGTCATGTAGAAAGAACTTGCTTTCTACTGGATCCCATTTGAGGCTGCTCCTTGGAAGGGCTACTTTTCTCATTCAAATTACGTAGCATCTCTCAGTAATGCAATAGGGTTGACACTGTTGGTATTTGGACAGTTAAAACCAAAACAGAAAGCAAATTAATGCATTCTTTTCTTGCCTGGCAAAAAAGAAATGTCTAGAGGGAGTTTAGCAGAGAAGAGCATGAGTTGGGTGTTAAGTGGTGAGTAGTATTTCCAAAGCAATTCTGAATGAAAATCAAAACTTACTGTCAAAACTGGAGGATTCCTTGCATTGGTTTTCATCTTCTAATGAAATTAATCTTGAAATTAAAAAACGTTTAGTCATTAAATTCTGAAAATACTATATTTATGATACAGATTTTCAGTATAGTATCTATTACTTCAATTATAATCCCCTACACATACCACAAACATGGGCTGAAAGGTCATTTACATGTTATACATTTTCTGAAGGGGAAAAAATTGCTGGTTTTCTCTCTCATTGTTTAACATCTTCATAACTGAGTTTGGTTTCATCATAAGGTACATATTCTATAAACATCAAGATGGGCACTTAGGGATAGCTAGGATACTTATGTACAGTTATATTATGTTCCTCCAAAAATAAGACCTGGAACTTAATAAGAACTTGAAGAAAAGCCCTAGCTGGCTGTTACCATGGTGATGGCTAGTGACATGCAGATTAAACTTCATCATTCTCTTGCTCAATGGCTACTCTGTAATGGCAGAAAAACAAGAACAGCAGATACGAGTTGGCATATTTGATCTCTAGTTTTCAAGGCTGTTTTATTTTTGGCGAAACACAGTAACAATAAATTAATGGCTGAATGGTGGCTTATTGATTTCTGGTGTTACCAAAGAGATTAGTTAATTTGCAGAAGGCTGAAGCAGGGTCACTCTCAAACCCAGGTGGACAGTCACCTATTCAAGCTCTTTCCGTGTCTTTAAGAACAGACCCATGTCTGCTACTTGAGTCTCCTTTGGTGTCTGTCTGTGCACGCCTCCTAGCTCTGTGGTTCACTTTCAGCTGCTGTTTCTGACCATGGTTCCTGTCAGTTCTTCACTGTCATTTCAAATAGTGACTGGATTATACTTTTTGAGCTTTTAAAACTGAAGTGGTGAAATATTTAAGAACTCTGAAATTAATGTTCAGAAATCAAGAAAATCCTAGGTGGTTTATGGTGCTTTGGCTGCATTAACTTATATGGTGGAAAAGGAGGATCTGGGACTCTCTCCTCTCACTGCTAGGGACCACGAACAGGCCCTCAGCCTCTCCGAGCTTCATTCCCATCCTCTTCACAGTGGGGAGATGCCCATGGAATACATGGTAGGGGGCTCATGGGGATAAGTTACATAAGCAGTGCCTGACATTGATGACAACACACAGTAGGTGCTCACTAAAATGAAAACCACATTGATGCTCTTATCAGGAACAGGTCCAAAAATTTTTCCCTCATAAACTAATTGTACTGCAGTCTGTCCTAGGGTGACAACTTGTTTTTGTTCTGCACCAGCAAAATTTCCTAGCATTTGCTTTAAAATTAAAAAGGGATCCTATCAGCAACAGATATTTCTCTGAAAAAAAATCTGACATTTTATTTAGAATCAGAGTAAAAAATATAAGCCTATTTTACCATTAAATTGTCATCTGAAGTTTGTGTGTGTGTGGAAAAGGAATAGTGAACGGAAACAAGGTCATCTCCTTTGCTTTCTCTGGGCCAGCCAGTGCAGACTGACTGCATTCCCACGGGCTTTTCCATTACCATAGCACATGACCCTGATTCCCATGTAAATCTCCTCATTCTTTGGGATTAAGAACTATTGAAAAATCTATCTCAGTATCTATAGTGATGGAAGCACCTTGTGTGTGTAGAGGTAAAAAATAGAGAAAAGCAGTCACTTCTTGCACTCAAAGCCGTGCAAACTTCAAAAAACCAAAAGTCACAACAGTGAAAATGAAATGTCAGAACCCAATACCTTTGCAGGATAGTACCTCAGTGATACATGTACAGTACTAAGGCCATTTCAGAAGTCATCAGCTTTTTTGAGACAAAAGCCTAGGAGACTTCTTGTTGAGTACAGCATCTTGTGAGTGCTGGTAAGATAAACCAGAGAGAAGAGAGAGCTCGGGGTGAGACCCCAGGACAGGCAGACAGGCAGCCCTTTCCTGCCCCAGCCAGCCTCTCCAAGGCCTGCCCTTCCATGGACCCTAAAAGTGGGTCTTCTATTGGGCTACAGCAGGCAGCAACGAAGCTCTATTTGGGGCCTACTTCACTGGACTGAGACCACAAGGACCATGCTGCCCTACCTGTTGGCAGAGAGACCCTGTCAGAAAAAGGGGCCGGGACTTACTGACGTGGCTCCTGGCCTGCTGCCTCTGTGCTATCCTGCTGGGCAATCCTCTTCTTCTCTTCTTTCTCAACGAGTTTTTTCATAGGGTCTTGCAAACTCTTGATCATGTTCCATAGTCAATAGAAAGAAGGAGGAGGAGGAAGTGGAGGAGGAGGAAATAAAAATGAAAGAAAAAAAAAAAAAAAAAAGAAAACAGAGAGATGCCTTCAATTAAAAATTCAACTGCTATTGTTCCCAACAACCAAACCTTGAATCAGAGGTATTGGGATGTTAACCTACGCCAATCAGGTAGACCGAAGTACAATCTAAAATGGCAAAGCAACAATGTTTTCAGCTCCATCTAAGAAACAGAGTCCTAATTTGTAAAGGAGACTTGATTTGCCACTAGATTTATGTTTCTCCTTTTGTGATAAGTTATTCAAGAGAAGGTCTTTTAGCTATTGCTAACTTTATTTTCCAACATCAACATGCAGCTAAGATAAACATTCTGTTCTGCTTGCAGCCCACGTACTGACGGAGTGGAAGCTTCCCCCGCTGCCACTACCAAAGATGAGACAATTTCATTTTATTTTTAATCTTGTTTGCTATTTTGCAATCTAAAAACTGATTTTAAAAAATAACAGAAAACAAAACCTTTTTTTACAAAACCCGAAATAACTCTGACAACTTAACGCCCACGAATGGACACAGCAGGTGTGCCTAAATTTTGTAGATTGAAAGTAGGTATGGGTTTATTTAGGGTTTTTTATACATCATTTGTTGGAGTTACTCTTTTCAAGGTTTATTAAATATTTAAGGGAAGATTTTTTTTTAATCCACATGCCTATAAACTGTACACTGGTGCCAAAGACCCAAGAGGGAAAACAACAATTTCTTTAACAACTGAATAAGAATCATACAAAAATATCTATTTCTGGTCCTAATTAAAATATCAGACTATGAATACAAAATAAAGATCTCAAGATACTAATCCTTCTTATCTTCTCAGAACTACTAAAGTCCAGGTCCTCATCCTTTGCACCTTCGGGTCTCTTCTGTCCTCCTCCTTCATGGCTCCTCCCTCCAGTGGGACATGCACAGAGGCAGCGGTGGTAGCATGGCCAACTCGGATTGATTAGTAATGGCTGCTGGCAGCGTGGGTGGGAGAGTGCAGAAGGCTGTGTCCATGCAGAGCAGCACTGTGACTGATTTTGCAATCTGCCATGGACACCAGATGGATACCAGTGTCACATCCCTAACTGAGAACTCTGTTTTAGTCTTTGTACAGAGTAATTCTCCTAGAGTGCCCTTGCCATGATGTTAATGTTTTCCTCAAGAACTTGCAAAAGAGGGACAGAGAGGAGGGGAAGGGGATGAAAAAGGAATTAAGATGTGTTATATACATACCCCGACTCCACTCAATGAAGGTGATCATACTGCACAGCAAATGTGTACTAATAAAAATAGAAATCAAAGGAACTTACAGTAGTAGTTCCTTATTTCTTTCCACTTCTAGTCTAAGAACCTCTCTGCCTGACTTTAATGATCTAAAATGTAAATCTGCCTTAACTTTCCCAACTGTCTGCTCAGCACCCCTTAAACATGAGCTTTCCATTCCATTATACCTGTCTCCTCACAGTCTACTTCTTGTTCCCTTCCTGTATTTGTTCATTCTATTTGTTCAAAGTCCTAAGAGTCTTTTGAAAGCCTAGATCAATAACCACTATTTTCTGTAAAGCTTTACTAAGCACGCCAAATTCAAGAAAGTTCTGACTCCAAAATGCACTTATAGCTTTATTAATATTTAATCATATTTATTCCATATTTTCCTCTTAAAATATTTTTTAAATCAGAAAAACAACAGTATGTATATTAGGTCTAGAAAACTTACTCATGATTTAATTGCTCTAAAATGATATTATTTTCTTATATTTTCTTTGACTTTATATTCATACTACTTCTGTAACTGAAATCACTGTATCTATATAGAGCATACATCCTCTTACCAATAAAATGTATGTAGGTATTCATAATTGAAAAAATTTTATTAGGAGTATTTTAAAGATTTAAATTGAAACATATAAAAGTACCTTGCTCAACAATATTCAAATACAGGATTAAGGTCTTCTCTTTGAGGATATGTCCCCTAAGTTGGCCACTAAAGTACTGTATCTTCTTGCATAAAACATAACTGTAAGGCATTGCCATAATTGTTAGTAATTGCTACTTCTGAACATTTAAATGAATATATTCATTCAAGAAATGTGTTTTGAGATCCTACCAAGTGCCTGGTGCTGGTTTGGGTGTTTTGGATATACTACAGAATAAGACAGAATTATCAGCTAGTAATTGGCTGAGGCAGATAATTAAAATAGAGAATGGAAAGTGACTGGGTCATTACTTCAGTGAGTAGGATCTGCTCTTTTGGAAGTGACATTTCAACTGAGAGCTAAATGACAGGAAGGAGCCATCCCCCATGTAGCTCAGAGAGAAGGGGCCCTGAGAGTAAAGGCCCAAAGGTGGAAGCAACTTGGCTCATTTAAGGAACAAAAAGGGTGCCTCTGGGGGTGCAGCATAGCTGGCAAGACCAGCATAAAGAGGCCAGCAGGATCACACAAGGGTAACATTCCTGTACTCGGAATGTTACTCATCAACTGTTAACATTTGGCCCCATTTGTTTGATCAAATCCTTTTGCTCTTTTAGTCTCTCCAATGCATGGCAACTAAATGCAATATATGATCCTTGGCTACAGCCTGGACTGGAGTGGAAAATGCTTATATGAGCAGAATCAGAACAAATGGACAGTGGATATGGGGTGTGGTCTAGTGATCATGAATTTTTTTTACCCCAAAGCATCCAGTAAAAGCAGCGTGTGTATGGATGTCAAGGGCATATTCTTTTCAATAGGTCTGCCAATCACAGAACTTTACACACACGTGCTCACACACACACACACATATACACACACACACCCCGTATGGTAGATTTATTCCTTCACAGAATAATCAGCTCTGGTCACAGTGAAGCCACGAGTATTTTCAGCCCAAGTTCTGATGGCTCCCAGGACTTACTTTTAGGTTCTGTGACACTTGCTCAGGCCCCTGGTTCGCTCAATTATCTTCTCATTGTGTTTCCTTTTTATCAATCAATACTATGCAGGGCCAGGACACGTCTGCTTCAACGGCTGTGTAGAGCTGCCACAGCCCCTGCCTAAACCCCTGAGATGCCCTTGACAGCTCCACGGTTATCATCCCTTCTGTCTCCAGCCTGACCTCCCCTCATGGCCACACTTGAGCAGCTCTCAGACAATCTCTTTGTAATGTAAACCACTCATTCCTTCTTTTCAACCCCTTCCCCTGTTGGGCCATTAGCAGAGTCTCAATTGTTGGCTCCCTGTCACCACAATCACAGTTAAGACACTATTGTGCTTTCCACACAGAATGGCTGCACTTCCAATTTCTACTTTAATTTATTATTAATAATTCCTTTGACAATTCTGCCTTTCTCCCTACATCACCATTGTCTCTGCAACAATTTGGTTTTCACAGCTGTGAGAGGTGCTAAATATGTGCTTGTTGGTTGGTAAATGAAAGCACACTTAAGGTTAAGCTGATAAGAATTAGATCTCTTTAACTAGGAGATTTAAAGGCTCCGAGGAATACCATGAAAAGATTTATAAAACCACAAGCAAAATTAATTTGATCAAATGAGTTTATTAAATATGGGAACCAGGACCCAAGGGGAATCTCATATACATACACACACACCCATGTGCACACACTTCTTGTACATAATCACACATGCACACATGTAACACACTAGCCTGAGATATAATTAATATATCATAGATTCTGAACATTTTAAAATTATACAATGATTTATAGTATATTCACAAAGTTGTACAATCATCATCATAATTAATTTTAGAACATTTTCAAGGGGGTATCTCTTGAAGCAAGAGAGAGATTTTTAGATTAATTAAGCTAAATATGTTTTCTACATAGCAAGGAAAAAAGCAAAACCACATATGGAACTTGTTTCTTACAAAGGACCATATACACTGAAAATATAAAGAGGTTAAAGGGAACTCTGAAAGTTGGAGAACAAACCCCAGGCCATTCCTCTCTGAAAATCTGCTCCTGTGTGTGACTGTCAGATGCAGACATTCCGTAGCATGAAGAGCATTCTCCCCCAGGTTTGGTGACAAAGCCTCAACCTAGCAGAGGGAGGCAGAAATGAATTCTTCGAGTTCTTTTGAAGTCTACCACTTAATCCTCCAACATCCCTATAGATCAGGGATGACAACATTTTCTTTGAGACATGAACAAGTACCCAGGCAAAAGAACAGAAGAGTTTCCACCGGCTGGGTACAGATGAGGCAGCCATCAGATGGAAGTGTTTCCAAACCCTGGCTGATGGAAGCCACATTTAAATTCACGTCCAGAAATGAGAACTCCAGGGCACTATATTTCTAAACCCAAGTCCTTCATTAAAATTGGTTCTGAAAAGCATTGTGTATTAGCAGCACACAGTATCACACAATCCTGAAAGCCTGTCTGTAGAGGGAAGAATGTTTTTCAGACTAAGTAACCTTTTTCTATTACGGCTGCACCAACATGCTAATAGTTTCCATCAATGCTTAAACAGTTTCAGGAAGCACACACACAACACACAAGATCAGCGTGACAGAGGAAATGTGCAGACCTGGCTTGCAAAAGTGTCTCAGAAAGGAAACAGCTTAATATAATAATGGGAGTTACTACTTCCTGTATTAGGAAAATAAAAGCAACAGCAACATTCATCTGAATGAAAGCAAAAGTACTCAGCAAAACAAATTTCTCAGACAAAAGGCTAGCAGCCAATTCTAATAACCCACATTTAATGTCTAACTTAGACAGCTGAGTCACATTTCCTCTAAACTTTAATTATGACAATTAATTTTCTTTTGCTCCTTTCCATTAATTACACCCTACATATTTGAAGGTGCCAAACAATTGTCAGTAAAAGTAAAAATGCTCAAAATAGTGGGCAAGGTTAAAAGATGCTAAACCCAGTTACGGGTATGTGTGTGTGTGTGTGTGTGTGTGTGTGTGTGTGTGTGTGTGTTTATGTAATGAG